CGAATATGGGGAGGTTTTAGTGACCATACACATAGTGAAAATTAGGTCTTTTGAGATTTTCTCACCAATGGTTTGGGCTATGGAAAATCCAAAGTTACCATTAGATAGAGCTCGTTGAGTTGTACTTGGAACACTGATTGGAACGCTTGGAACACTTTCCTGAACGAATATGGGAAGGATTTACTCGAATATGGTGCTAACTTCACCTACGTGTCATTCTATTTGTTAGTGTATATCATACTACAGGCTAAAATTCCAGTAAGATGACTATAACTCTAGAGGAAAGGTCTATGGATCCTTTTACTTTTGAGGTTTTTCATGTCTCATTGGAATTTACCTTATGCACAGAGTTCGAACTAAAAAATGGTTAATCAGTTTGGGTACTTCCCTCATAAGATTTGGAGACAACAGTGCACATTTTGCTCATAGCTTGAAAAATTCATAACTTCCGCTAGAAGCAACTTGGGGACGAACTAACTCAGGGTGTATCACTCCTAACTATGTCCTATCTAACCATCACATCCCCGGCTGAAAAGCTTTTTAACAGCTCGGATAGTTCCCTCGTTAGAAAAAAAATTAGTAGTTCACATAATTATTAAGTTTCATATTAATCATCAATCATGGTTATTGCTTGAAGCAATCTTTAGTTTTACGTGGATAGTATTTACTCTGTTTCTGCCTCAGAAAAATCATTGTTTTTATTTTCCTTAATCAATTTCAGGTCCCAAATTGTACACCAAATATTGGAATATATTGTTTTTTTTCAGTAAAATATTTGATCATTTTCGTGCATTATTTGTTTGGACATTTCAAATGTATATTTATGTTTTATTTTACTTATTAAGATTTAATATTCGATTAAGATAGGTTATATGAAAAATTAGTTTAGTTTCTTCTGTGCTGTGTTTTAAATGTTCAAATCATATCTAGCTGAAGATAAAGCAGCATTTTATTTCAAATGCTTATCAATATAGAATTTTCTCTTTCGTTGTAAGTATTTGAAATATTATTAAAATTTTTAAAATACTTCTTCAACTAAAAAAACACGATTTTTTAAATTGATTCTAATCATATAAACTTTTGAGTTTGTCTTGTCATAGTAAACAACACATTGGAATTGCACCTGGAACAAATCTTTCATTGGAACAATCAGTTCAAACTTTTATACTTTTCTCTTGATGTTTGAATGTACATTTACATGTCGGATAAGATACTGAAAAATATATCCTTGATGATGCTGAACAGATGTATCCAATTGCTATGCTACATACGCTTATAAACAACTGTGTTTTGTTTTTATCAAATTCTAATCAAAATCTAATAATTTGATTTTACAGTCTTTTTATACATGAATTTAATAATTAAATCTATACTTACATGAATTCATCTAATCTTTAGATATTTTTTTTTGTCTCTAATTTATTGTATGTTTATTGAAAACGACAATTTTTCTTCAAAAACAATCTTATTATTTCTCAAACGAATGGTATCGGAAGTCAACTCGAATTTACTAAAATACGTCTAATCTTTATGACGTTCATCGTTTATTTAAATGAAAAAATCAAAAAAGCAAACTTCTATTCAATGCGTATAAGACATGTATACATTTGTTTATTATTTTTTACAGAAAAAGATAAAATAAGAAAAATAATAAAACAATTCTTATGACTGGTGTTCTGCGTCTGAACCAAATGTTGTTGACTGTGAAAGTGCATCATGAAATTCTACTAAGGGTATAGCATCTGTAGCAGCTTGTCGTTTAATTTTTTGACGATTTTGTTTAACCGTTGTATTATCAACTGTAGAATCAATATGTTCATTGTCTTCACCTGAATTTGCAATATTTGAAGACGGTTGTTCTATTGAACAAAAAAACAACAAATAGTTTTAAATTGAAAATTATCTTTTAAAGCAAAAATACCATCTCTATCTTTGGATAATTGTGACATTTGTGTTGATGATGATTTCGTTGTAAAAAATTTACGTTTGAAAACTGATGGTAAATGAAAAGGAAAACGACCTTTCGAACGTGATCTTTTATTTCTATTTTCTAATGAATCATCATCAACTGGTCGTAGTGGTATATGACATAAATCTTTTGGTAATAATGGAATATAATTTGAACTCATTTTTATTCTTTGTTCTTCATTTTGTGTACTAATTGGCATATTTATTTGACGTTGACGAAGATATGGATTATTAACAAATTCAGATAATCTAATTAATCAATAATTTATTAAGTTTAAAATACAAAAGCAAATCTTACTTTTGTAATAATTGATTAAACATCTTAATTGCAACTTTTGTATCATCGAGAGTAAATGGCTAAAAAATATATCAAGATTAATATTGTTTATAGTAAAGAAACAAAAATACATACCACTAGATCAATTTCTGCTCGAATTTTAAGTCTTCGAAATGAATGTATTGTTTCATTTAATGATGGATAATTATTAATTAAATAAGATTCAAATGGTAAATTTGTATCCATATCAGAAAATGTTTCTTGACAAGTATGTTCTAAAAATAAAAATGACAAATCTGTTATCCTTTTTGTTTTTATCTATTTAATTTACGTAAAACATTATAAAGATCAATTGTAAACATTCGAGCAATATATTGTGGACATTCTGAAATACAAAGATAAAAAAAAATGAATTCTTACAAAAACAAAACAAGTATATTATATTTACCATCTTTTGTATAAAAACGTTCAGGTAATTCATGGTGACCAACAAGAAGCCATGGTGGTTTGATTTTAGTAGGGACTTTTCCATCTGTAGGCAATTTTGATTGAGTATACTGAAGAAAATGAATGAATTATTGATAAAATGATTGACATATAATGTAAAATTTACTCGTCGAAAAAATTTACATGACCAAAAATGTCCATCACGTTTAGATTTAACATTTCCTCGACGAATTTCTCGTTTGATCAGGATAGCAATGACAAGAAGAAGCTGATTAAATGACAAAAAAGAAGCACGAAAATTTAGCAAATATATGGTTTTATTTTCCACTCACTGTCAATCCAACAAGACTGAGAATGAGAGCAGCTGATATACCCAATGATTCTTTCTTTGGTTCAATAGTTGTTGTTGTCGACATTATATTTTATTTTATCTAAAACAATAGATTCCGTATTATTATTTAACACAATAAATCTATGAATTTTTAATTAATGACATTCTAAACTTTCATCTTGTTTATTTTATTTTTCAATCGGATTATGAATGTTTTTTTTTAATAAACATTCATTAATCTTAGTATTAATTATGTTGTTCAAGTGAATCGACTTTGTAATGAACAATGGAATTTTATTTGTAAGATGGAAAGATTCTTTTATAAAATATTAAATCATAAAGCAACCTGACAGACATAAACAGTCTATCTTTTATTGAATCAATAACATTATTCGTAATGTTATTACCATCACTTCATTCTTTCGATTAATTGATAGATAAGAAAATGAAAACCAAAATAAAATTCAATATCGTAGAAAGTCAATCAAGAATTTTAATCGATGTATTTCTTTTTAAAATAGAATATTACTTTCACAAGTATTTTACATTAATTTTAGATTATCTAAAACAAATATAAAAAACAAATAAATTATTGTAAATTTGATAACGATGAATCAAAATAAATTTTTAATTCATTTAATGTCGTTCGAATAAGTTTAACTCGAATACTCGATAAATTTAGACATTTATGAGCTCTACAAAATAATATGTATATATTTACATATACTATTTCATTTAAATGTACTACTAACGATGACAACCACTCATAGAAAAGTAATAGTTATTTCCGAAATGTGGTGCTTCATACCAAAGAACATCAATCGGTAGAATTCGATCAAAATTCATTGTCTACAACTACTTTTTTTTTGATCAACAAAATGAAACTATCCATTTACTATTACTTGAATAGTTTCCATAAATGATTGTACTTTATCTTCATTAAATATTGATTGTAACGGACGATTAATTTCATTCATTGGAATATCATAAACTTCATTAATTAATGCTGAATGAATTGATGTTAGTTCGTTTGATGATTGATGATCACGACAAGCTGAACTACTATTACTAGTACTAATTAGAGTTGAATGCATTTTTCAGTAATATTATTTTTAAAAAAATGAAAGAGTTAACTAAATGTACAAAAGTGATTGAAAAATAAACATCAATATGCTGCGAGAGAAAAACTCCGCTTTAACCCAGAAGAACAACAAGAAGAAAATGAGTCATCATATGATCTTCTAGCGACATCTAAAAACATTTGTATTTTCAAAATAAAAATGTTTTTTATTTTTTTAAGAAAAAATTATTTATTTCGATTTTTATTTAAAAAAATAATCAAGTTTTAGTCTTTACTTTATGGAGGACAAAAAGTCCTAGGCGGGGTAGTCGATCGTTTTAAAATTTTTTCATTTCATTAATAACAAAAATGTCTTCATCATCAATTGATCGTATGTCTGGTGCATCAACACCGACTCTTCTTGCAATGTCATCATTTACAACAAATCGATTAAATGAAGAACTTAGTGGTCTTAAACGTTGGCGTCAAATGTATGATTCTGCAATGAATGAAAAAGTTAGTTATTGTATTCTATTTTGTTTTCTATTTAATTCAAAAAGAATTGTAGAATGAAGAATTACAAAAACTTCAATTAATTAATCAACGACAAGCACAAACACTTAATGATTCAATTGTAAGTAAAAAGATTTTGAATGAAAATTTTATTTACTTTTATATTTTAGGTACAAATTGAACAACAAACTATGACAATTAATTCAATGAAACAAAATGAAGCATCATTAGAAAAAAAGTTTGTTATAATTTTAAGTTTTTTAATTCAATAAAACATCTTTTTTTTTTATTAATAATTAATAGAGTAACCAAACTTGAAGAACTTCATCATATACTCAAAAAAAATGTTGCTAAATTAGAAAAAACTGTTTCACAATGTAAGTAACGAGACTAAAGTAATGAGAAATAGATTATTGAACAGTATAAAAAGTAATTTTTGCATTTTTCTGTTAGGAAGTACATAGTATTTGTTAATCGAATTGAGGCAGCTCGATTTACAGATATACACTTTGCATATTAATTCATTTTCTTTCGGGTCGAAGTTTAAGTCCATTCAGTAGTGATTTCGATCTTTTACTGTATGCTGCACTTCGATCCATTCAAACTCCAAATGCTTCTGACAGAGTTTCTCGATGTATTTACGCTAACTGAATCGTAAACGTCCGATTGACCTTTTTCTTACAGGCATGGCTTCAAGTATTTGATCGGAAAGTTTTAAGTATGGATTAATGGATCGACACCAGAATAGAATAATTTCTATCCGTTGTTCATAACCAGTATTATATTGCTCATCTGCTTGATTAATGAAATTCCAATTATATCTTGTCGGTACTGTGTTTGGCTTTCTTACAATCAGTTTAGGTTCTTTGCCAATGAGCAATGTTATGTTCCATGTATCAATTCCCACTTTGCATTGATGTTGTTGATTCCTGATGTTCACTTTTATTGAGCGCATGCCGCTGAAGCATTCTACCATTCCCTTATGCCTACTAGTACTTTGCATATTGTATTGAATATAAAAGTGAAGACAAGATTGAGTTCTAAAGTTTGAAAAAAATATATAAATAAAAATTGAAATGAATGAATGTATCATCATCCTAATTAGACAAAACAATTTCACTTATTATTCAGTTCATCTTCTTCTAAATATATAATTTGAAAAACAAATATGAAAATAAAAAATTTTATTACAATCTGTTATTTTTAACGATCAAAAATGTAGATTGTCTAGAGTTATAATCGACTGTGAATAAATCTATTTTATGTTTAGGTGAATTTGTTCGTGTTGATCTTGAACGAATGTATGAACATCAAGAACGAAGTGTAAAATCACTTACTGATCGTGTTGATTCAACTATTGAAGCTAAATTACAAAATTGTATATTAAATAAAATGAAAAAAGAAAAACATTTTTCGAATTATTCATTTTCTCTTATAGTACAATCACAATTAAAATTAGTTGAACAACTTCATGAACAAGCTCGTATTGAACTTAATAAACAAATTCATGAACGAACACAAGAAAATGCTGAAACAACAGCTCAAATTGTTGAATTAACAACAAAACTTGTAAGAGAAATTTTTTATTTTCGATTATCAAAAAAAAACAAAAGTTTCTTTAAAAAGACAACAGCTGAAAATGAAATCAATCAATTACAAACAACAAATACAAATGCCCAATCAAAAATTATTGAATTAATAGAAGAAATAGTTGAGTCAATTTTTCTAATCATTTTTTTAAATATTTCTTTTTTATTTAGAATAAATATCAACAAATGATTGAATTATTATCAATTGAAAATGATACAAAACTTACTTCAAAAAATCAACAAATTGATGATTTACAAAAACGATTTGATACATTAGTATTAAAAATTGTTCGTATGAAATTTTTCTTTTCTATCTTTTAATTTGACATTCGTTATTCTTCAGGATGCTAGTAAAGATGAAATATTTAATTTACAAGAATCAAATCAAATTTTACAAACTCGTATTGCTGAAATGAAACAAAAAACAGTAAATAATTCTATTGAAGTTTTATGCAAAAATAATGCCACAAATATTGCTTCCTTTTTTCTCTTTCAATTCGCATAGAACTTATTTTTATCACATGTTCATAAACGAAATGTCCACATCAGAAAAGAGAAGCATTGTCAAAACAAGTCCCCTAATTCAGAATAACGAGACAAAATATTCATGTCTGTTTCTCTTCAGTGAACACAGATTGGAACAATTATTTTTTTATCAGTTGATAGGAAGTTTTTCTCTCTGTCGATTTATATATGAATTGATTTTGTTATACATTTATAAACAAAATTACACAATGAATTTGTAATGTTTGTATTGATTCATCAAATCAGTGTTTTATCCAAATTTTCTCTTTCAATAGGGCAATATATAACTTCGAGAGGACAGACACATAATACGTGATGCAATAACTATAAACTTTAGAAGGACGTCGCACTCTCAATTCTTATGCTGGATAAAACACTGCATCAAATGCATCTTGCAAATCAACTGAAATATGATGTTAAGCTAACAGCAAGTATACCAAAGACTGTTACATAATTATTCAAGTCAGCAGAGTAATAATATTGATTCGTCCCAGCATCATTTCCACTTAACTCTTTCGGAACGGGAGACGCACATCGGCTTTTTCTGTCGCCGAACAGTCAAATCTATTGATACGTACTATTTATCATTGACCTAGTTGACATTGCTCTATAATTTAATGCGAGTAACATACATATGCATCGTGCTAGTCTTTGAAAGATCACTAGCACTGATTAGGAATGAAAAATAATTCACTTTAACTAATTCCGTGTTTCATTATTTTACTTCAAAAGCAAGAATTCCATCCTGAGAGGATTAATGTAAAATAATAAAATAACATCACAATCACGAAGAATCGTTTTTATATAACTTTCCACATTTTTGTCTAGTCTTTTTTCTTTCTTTAGCTTTATAGTCCGTTTGCTGAAGAGTTTTGACGTTTCCTGATAACAACCGATGTTCTGTTTCATAAGTTACGACTGATGTTTGATTAGTTAACATTGAAAGTTTTGGCTAGTTTACGCTGACTGATATGACAATGATTATTAACAGATTTTACTAGTTATTTTAATTTTTGAGTAGATAGTTTTACTGGACGACCATTCCTTAGTAAAAATTTGGTTTGTTCGTATTTCAAATATTTACTGAATAAATTATAAATTGTTCTTCTTGAAATGCCTTGTTTTATAAAATAATTAACTTTTGTTTTGAAAGATTTATTTGATAAATCAATTTAAAAATTGTAGATTCATTAAAATATTGTTTCTCTTTCTTCTCATGTAATTTTGTTTATGAAGATACGATAGAACTAAATTATATACGATTTGGAAGAGAAGTAGGACCGATATTTGTGGCATTACTTTTGCATCGCATGTTATTTTTTTTAAATAAATCTTTTCTAAAAAATCAAATTATTAGGTTGAACATACAGAACATCATGAAACAGAAGTTCAAGCTTGTCAAGCTGAAATTGATATTCGAGAGAAAGAGAATGAACAATTGCGTATAAAAAATAATCAATTAATTGAACAAATGGTAAAAAATAAAATTTAAATTTTTAAAATATTTTTCTTTTCTATCTAAAGACAAATTGTGATAATCAAATAGAAGAATTAAAACAGAAAAATCAAATGTTATTAAATGAAATAAATGAAATGAATCTTAATTTACAAAAGCAATTAAATGAAACACGTGAACAATTCCATACACAAATTAGTGATTATGCTAAACAATCGGTAAAAAATTTTTCAAAAAAAACTTCCAATGATAGATGTCGAATTTTTATAGATTGAATATGATAATCGATTAGAACAACAAATTGTTGAAATTAATGAACAAGATAAACTTATTAATGAATTAAAAAATAAACATAATGAATTATTAGACAAAATGGTTTGATTTAAAAATGAAAAATAACTCAGTGTCAAATTTTTATTAATTTATTTAGGAACTTACTGAAGAAGAAATTACACAATTAACAAAAGAAAATGAAGAATTACGAACACAAAACCATGTTTTACTTCAAGAAACAGTAATAAACTTCTTCGTTTTATTTTCAGACTTACTAAATTTATTTTTAAGGATGAACGTAGTGAACAAATCAAACAAAAAGATGTTATTGTTGAAGCAACAAATATTGAAATTGGCGAAAAAGAAAAAGAAATTGAAGAATTACAAAAAAAAGTCGTAAGCTACAAGCTTGTCAATGCAATCCCTTTAAGACTAAATTGTGGAACTCACATGTGTTATTTAGCCTCATTATGCTTAAAGTAAAACATCTCTAGCAGACTATAGTTGTTTTCCAAGAACAATCGATGGTGATACAGCGGACAATTTATATAGAACACATGTTCATGGTTTATTTTCTATCAAGAACGCATTTTTTTCATAGAAATATAAATTTTCAGCACTCAACAAAGAATTGATTGGAAAAAAGTGAAACTTGTAAAAGAAGATTTTTGCAATGGCAAATATATGAGAGGACCCCCTAGTCTAAATTTTTGTTGTACTTCAGAAACATGGATATTGGTTATTTCCTAAAGTTATATTATGATTAGTTCGCGCTTTTTATGTTGATCATATAGTAACTGTGACAAATCAATGTATCATTACCCATTCTTCTTGATAGTCTGAATATAAATTTTTGTCTGCACAAAAATGAAAAACTGCACTATTTACAATATTCACCAACATATTTCTGCCATTCGAATTTCTAGAAAGGCTCTGGAATGTTCTAGAATAGTCTGTATCTTATTGCTAATGCTGTTCAACGATTTTTCCTGTTGCTAAAGAACTCTAGGAAAGGATTTAGACGCCTATTGTCCTCAATTATTTTGCAAATGTATCCAAAGACCATTGATTTCTAACCTTTAAACACCCGAAAAACTTCGACTTAAAACTTACACTTACTATGTTCTTCTTTGAAAGATATAATGTGAGTTCCATAAAAATGAATATGAAATAAGAATGAATTTTTTTATTTTCTATGAAGACATCACTTGAAGAACGTCTTTCGAAAAATCAAAATTTACTTACATCATTACGTTCATCAATGGGTGAAAAGGTTTGACATTCTTTTAATTTTTTTACTTGAATTAATCATTTATTTTTTAGGATGCAAAAATTAAACGTCTTGAACAAGGATCAATATCTCCACAATCAACACTTCCATCACGATCAACAAATGTACGTCGAACAAATATAAATCATCCATTAGCAAATCAACAAAAACCAATTGCTCCTATTCGACCACCATTACCACCATCAATATCAATTAATCAACAAACAAAAATCAATCCACGGTAAATTTGAACAAGAGATTAGTTATTGTAAAAAAAAAAAGGAAATTGTTTTTAATCATTAGTGAAAAGCGTATGTTACCACCATCAGCTTCAAATGATTTAACATCAACACCAAAAAAAGTTCTTCGATTTAGTCAAACAAAAGCAGCTATTGATCAAGCTCATGCTCTTGAACAATCAATTTCGCCAGTACCTGATGATGATCGAGATGAAGTTGCATCAAATACAAGTGTAGCTGTAAGTAAAAATCTGTTGCTTTTTTTCGTCTTTAATTAATTCATCTTCTTTGTCTGTTTAGAGTCTATTCGAATATTTAAAGAAAATCTAAACAAATTATCAGTTGTTGTTTTTTTTATTTATTTTATTTTTTTCTATTTGTGAAAAATTTTATTTAATTGTAAAAAACAAAATTTTATTCAACAATTAGAATACAGTTTAGATGATCTAGCAAATTATATCTTATATTTTGTCTCGAAGATAATATAATTAATTTTTATTCAATCGAATTGTTCTTTCAAGTTTTGTTTTCATATTGAAATAATAATTCTTTAGTTATTATCAATTGAGAATTTGTCAACACTTGATAACTTATTAAATTATGTTCAAATCGTACCAATGTAAGCATTTCAAAATGAAGAAATTGTATTGTTGAGTTTGTATGATTATTTTCTAATATATCCTCCTGGCCAAAATAAATTAAATACTTTATTTTTTCCATTATTTTTCTCTACTAACATGGTTTGGACTCATATCTATATCACAGATAGATATTTGAGTACTCGACTTACTATCAAAGTTTTAGCTCTATCAAATGAGAATTTGTCGAGAAATTTACAAATATGTCTAATGT